GATATGTTTATTTTCAACCTCAGATGTAAAAGGCCATCCATTTCGGGGAGATGTTCCCTTTCATACCAACTTATGACGTTGAAAAAAATGTGCTTGAAAAGACAAATCAGGATTGACATATCAATTTAAAATCTAATGGCATAGTGAGATACCTATACTAAGGGGGATAAGCAGAAAATGTATGTACTTCTTTTGCGTCAATGTTAACTCAGTTATTTCCCTTTAGAGGGGCTATCGTAGTAGAAGACAATAATTAATGTCTCCTGCGAACACCCAGGAACTATTCGGAGACGTACTCCCGCACACAGAGGCACTGCTTCGCGGTCAAACTGCGTATTGTTTGCTGCAAATCTCACAAATATTCACTAAAAGTAAACTATCACAAATCAATCATTTTCAAAGACTATTTCACACATACCTGCAAAGTATCAAATTATGGGTTATAACAGGTGGGCATGGTAACCCCCCAGGGTTTTTTTACTTGGTCCAGAGGCGCAATTGTCTTTCTCCGTCGGAGACATCTCCGGATAGATACTGTGGGGGTACAATCCGGAACTGACCCCTATTCAAAGAGATTATTATAATTTTTTTTAAAATTCATAATACTAGATCTCGCGGCTCGCGGCAGTGAAATCAAACGTATCAGACATGGGGCTTTCCACCCTCATAGGCATAGCCAGCGTGTCTCCATTTACATGAACAATCTGAGCTCCCACCCTGCTCCTCACTGGGTCTAGTATATTAGACACCACCCTGCAACCCACTTCAGTGCAAGCTTGTAGATTTCCTCCTTATCCGCCGGCTGAGACACCTCCTCGCGAGCCTCCAAAAGCATTCACTCGTCTGTTGAACTGCGCATGTCTTGCTCTTGAGGTTCAGTGTCCCAGTGTGGGCACACCCAGCCCCCATTCGTTTACGTGGGGGACATCACTGCCACGAACTCTTATAAATACACATGTATAACCTCATTGACCCCATTCAACACTGAAATGCAAAAGAAAGGGGGGGAGCCTCAGAAATAACGTCAAGCCTGTCGTTTAAAAGGTGGAGAGCAATGAAAACTCCCAAGAAACCCGAGTTGAAGAAGAAAGGCATTTCTGTGATTCGAACCCAGTGAACTATTGACACACATGCAGAAGAATAGCAAATGCTGTCTGTTATTGAACTACACTTGATTCTGGGTCTGGGTGAGTTCTAATGTTTAGACGGAAACGTCATGGTATACATCAAAGCCTACATTTCAAAACCCGTAAACACCTGGAATACAAACACAAATTAATATCCCGAGTGGAAACAAATGTTTTCGACAATAACATTACGTCTGTCGCCTCTCACAAGGACATACATGTAATATGGAGCAAGCTTAACAAACAGTTGTTGTCCGTCCATGACAGGCTTGGTCATTTCGCAAGATTTTAAAGTACTGTTCACTCTGCTCCTCTATGTCCATCTGATGTCATTTGATCAGTTGTGTCTAACATGGTCGTGCATTTAAACTTACTCAAAATGGCTTATTACACTGTATATTATTATGATCGGTGTCTGATTGTGAGGCTCTGCACTTTGCTCGCGAGGTCATGCGTTTGATAACCATTTGATCATATTCTTTTTCCCCCGTTTGTTTATTGGGTTCGTTTGGTTGTTGTTGGGTTATCTTAGTGGGGGGGGGGGTTGTTAATTTATTTTTGGCTGTTTTCTGTTCTTTTTTTGGCTTAAATTGCTTAATTATGTATTTTGACTTTTTGGTCGCTGATTGTACGGTATAAAGTATTTCTTACATTCGCCTGCACATTGGTATTTATAGTGGAAAGGGGACGTCTCATTGTTTTGTTCAATGAATAATTACCCTTTTATCTGTTTCTTTTCCAGAGAGGCGGCAGTGCAAACTGCACAATGCAGAGTTTCAACCTCTGAGTGAGACGCTGGGGTCAGGGATGACTCATTTGACTGTGTTGGCCGTCATCAAAACGTGCGTTCACCGTTAGTGAGAATGAAGTGTGCCAATATAATAGGTGTTGGATAAAAGCAAAAGGAGAAATCTAAGACTTTGATAATAAAACAGATTATAAAAGGTGTATATTACTTTGCGTGAATGTGTTTTCTTGGATCTGGTGAGATTGCTATAGGGCTACGGCTATAGCTGCTGTTGTTACTATTCGGGCTTGGAAAGTATCAAAAGAGGTTTGAGGGGGTTTTTTTCGTTCTATATTATGCATTAAACCTGTCCTTGCATTTGGCCTCTTGTTTACAATATAAAACGGAACCCTACCTTGGTTCTGAGACAGGTGTTCCACATGGTCACCACTCTCATACTCTTAATGAAGCATGCAGCAGAAGTATTGCTTTTATCTTTGTACCTCCACCCCCATCATGTACAAATCCCCAGCCAGACGCTTCAACCTTGAAATCTTTGAGAAATTTGCATTAATCCACATTTGCATGGCCACACGTTATTGGAAATGAACATTACCTCAAAGGTATTATCCATAAATACGTGTTAAATCCATTATCTTGGACTATGCTGATGCTTTCTTTTTTTGTTAACAGTTCACATCAGGACACTGGTGAAATTCAAAGGATTGTCTGCTTGGCGTATAACTTGCCCAATGAAAAAACATCATGTTTCGAGGTGTGTGTGTGTGTGGGGG